ACATATGCAACTTTTGGTTGCCTATTTAAGTAAACACCCAGAAGGTTCTACACTAGCTACCATACCTATAACCCTACTGAGTTACCTATTTAAACTCTCTGTGCCTATGTACATTAATTATCTAATCGAGCAAGAATACGCAGTACCCTCTTATTTTCAGACACTCAACTTAGGACTTTAAATCAGGCTCATATTGAACCCTTTATCCTCGAAGTAAACCTGCTAGAGCCTTCTGTACCTACAAATCTGGCTGACCTAGACTTTTGGTAACTTACGCCGAGTCCAAGAACAAGTACTTGCAAGCTGAAGCTGCTATCATTACCTACTACCGCCCTTGTAGAGTTCATCCAAACCTTAGCACCTATTATACAGACTATCCTCTATACATCTATCATCCCAAACTTCTAATCCAGATGGCTCAGAAGAGCTGTGACCTGCTTCTGGTCCCCACGGTTGGGTTCTTTTTCTCCGGTTACTCTCTGGTGGCCTGGTTGGTGGAGTGCCTTGCCAAACACTTCGGTCTTGTTCAGTTTTCTAGTTTCCTGGTGATAATCCTTTACATAGTACCATCAAAGATCTATGCTACCTCTCTATTTAGGTCTTGCCAAGCGGGCTTCCATGTGTGCCAACCTCAGATTTATACAAGATTATACAAGTAAGTACTTTGAGTTATACAAAGAAATAACACAAAAAAGTAACACAAATTCTCCTAAGTTCCTCCACACAAGTTCCTTCAAGTTTCTCTACATGAAGTTTCCCAAGTTCCTCCTACACAAACATATGTGTTTTGGATACAAAATTCCCAAGTTCCCCTTCACCAAGCTCCACCTCACAAACAATAAATAAATACTGTATAAACAAATTAAGTAATGTTTATATTTCCCCAACTTCCTCCAATACAATCCTCCAATTTCCTCCAACACAATTTCCTAACTTTCCTTACTAATGTTACTCATTCCCCAATATTCCCTTACATACTGTATACCTTTTCTTTGGATATATAAAGAGTGCCTTTTCTCCTTTCTGCCAATTCTATAAGTTTTTATACTTCACCTAGACTTTGTTTTCTTTATACCCTTCTTGTAAATGTGATATTTCACCTTTAGAGTAATTCCTACAAGCAAGATTTATTTTGTGTTTTTGCATAAAATAAAATTATATACTATTACTATCTCAAACTATTTGCCTCCTGCTGTGTAGTTAAGTGAACAACTACATATTCACCTTGTGTATATTTGCAAGAGTCAATCACTGCACTAGGTAGTCTTATTACTTGGTTGTATTTATTAAGAAGGCTACAACTCTGTAACAGCATAATATAAACTATCACACAAATTTGAAAGATTTGGCTATTAAAATGTTTTCTATTGTATCATCTCAAACAACATATTAAAATAGTTTTATGGAGATCAAAGAAATCGGCTAACAATTAAACATATTAAGTTAATGGCTAAACTGAGAATGTATTGGCTTTTAGAAATTCGAAATGAGCTTGAACATTATGGAAAAGATTTAACTGAAGAAGAGTTACGAACTTATGCTAATATGATGACAATTCCGATTGATTTATCTTCGGAAGCTAATAACGCAGATGATATATTTGATAGTTATGAGTCTTATATGAAGTCTTTGCCTTGAAAATGACCTTACAGTACATGATACTGTAAGGTTATTTTCAAGACAAAGACCTCATATTATAAATTAAGATACTCCTATTTCTACTTTTACTTTAATGAATGTTAATACATTTATAAACTCTGAAATAGAGGCGTATAAATTAGTAACTTTTAAGGCTCGGCCCGGCCTGCATTTAATATTAAAAATTTTTTGCCAGCCCGGCCTGGCTTAATTATTTTAAAATTTAGGCCTGCCCAGCCCGCAAATATATAAATTTTAAATTTTCAAACCAATTTAATTTATAAATTTTAAATTTTCAAAACAATTTAATTTATAAATTATTAATTTTTTATAAATTAGTTTAATTGGTTATTCATTAGTCAACCAGAGAGTAATCATAGTACAATATAATACAAATTATATATAAAAATTAGAGTTTTTAAAATATAGTATGTTTTATGAATTAATTTAACTATATTATGATTGATTATTGATTAAGTTTAGTTAATAGTCGAGTATAATTTGTAGACTCAATTAAAAGTAGATTAATTATTGATGTTGATTATTTATAGAGATAGTTTAATATTGATTAATAATATTTGATTAATCAGATAGTTAAATTTGATTGATTAAGAAAATTTTTTAGAATATATTATTTTTAAAATTTTTTTTTTAGTAGATAAAATATAATTGATCAATTATTGACTTGATAATTGATTAATAATATATACTTAAGTTTATAAATTATATGCTTGATTAATTATCCTTAATCAAGTTTATATAATTAATTCTTAATAGATTAAATTAAATTTTTTTTGATCAATCATCAAGCAATGATTTTTTGTAAAGTCAATTCACTAAGTATACTTATATTTAAAATTTTTTTATATTAAGTAAATTATCTTTGAGTTTCTAATTAAAGTTGTAGAGTTTGTCAAAATGAATTTAATAGTAGTTAAATTATCAAAATCAGCTTGATAAATTATAAAATATTTTTAAAAAATATTTTATTAATTATATAAACTTCTATATAGTTAGCAAAATATTTTTTAAAAATATCTTATAATTTACTAGACTGTTTTTGATAATTTAACTACTATTAGATTTATTTTGATGATCTCTATAACTTTAATTAGAAACTTAAAAGTAATTAACTTAGTATAAAAAAGTTTTAGATATAAATATACCATATTTTAAAAACTGTAATTTCTATATATCCAATTAGATTATACTTGATCACTTTCTAGTTAACTAACAAATCACCAATTAATTATTAAATTTAATTTGGTTTAACCTGGCTCACCCAGGCCCGTCCAGGCCCACCCGGCCCGCAATTATAAAATTTAGGCCCGGCCCAGCCCGCAATTATAAAAATTTTGCTTCAGGCCCGCAAAAAATTGCGGGCCAGACCGGGCCGGGTCATGGAACCCAATGCAGACCTCTACTCTGAAACAAAGCTTAATATCGAAGATTTGGCAGAACTTACTTTACAATTTTTTAATTTTAATAATACAGAATCATATGGTGAAGAATTTAGACCACAATCTAAACAAACATCAAGCAAAGGTCGTGAAAATATGAACTTTGAAGTATCAAATATTGTTGATGAAGTCTTAGAGATTGGAAATGATAATAATTAACTTTAAAAAAACTATTTAATAAATGCTAACTGCTAATATGTATTATAATTAACTTTAAAAAAAACTATTTAATAAATGTTAACTGCTAATATATATTAATAAATAAAGAAATAATACATAATAAATTTTTATTTCTTAGTTTATAGATGTATATACCATATGTTACCAAATAAAAGTTACAAAAAAATAAAAATTTTTTGAGCTAAAGTGAGAAAGTAACTTCTATTCTGAACTATATACATAAAGTTTTATCAATTTATATTTTGATAATTTTCACAGTTTTCATGGTTTAGTCGAAGCTTCAAAAATATAAACAGTATTTACCTATCATGTAGATAGTTTATACTTTTATCGAGTTTTATCATGAGTATTGATGGTATCACTAGTTGGAAGCACAGGAAAATTTTCGGACATGCCTTTGATTTAGAGGCATGCCTTATAGACATGTTTCCAAAATTTTTTACATGACAACTTTTTATATATATAAATTTTTTGAAAAAGAGCATGCCTAGGAGAGAGAGAGATACGCCCAAAAGGCATATCTCATGTCCCAACCCTAGTACAAACACATGTATATAAATAACAATTAAAATTGATAATATAAAAAAAATTATGTAAAATATAAACTACTTTAGATTTAAATTATAAATACAGATAAATTACCAAGTAGCAATAACAGTATAATCTGCCTGTAAAGATATAAAACTAATCTGGTATACACAAGTGTTAACTACAATTATAAGCGTAAAGTTATCAAAATATCTAGTTTAAGTTTCAGTACTTGTTATATATAATATAGATATACAATATAAAGTACTAATAATATAATTTCACAATAAAATAAAAAAAAAAGCCAATAAAATCATCAACCAGATATTTGATATTATTGGCATAATCTGTAACAAATATACATACTAAAATCAACTAAATATATATCAATATACAACAATTTCAATTTCAGCATCAAACTTTTAAAGCAATTAAAAACATATAAAACACGATTTAAACTTTTTTTAAAATTAATTTATGCATAGAACTTTATTACTTTAAGTATTTATTTAAATGTTTATCACATCATGTTATTACGTTCATTTTGACCATTAACATCCAAATTGGATTATGTTTTAGAATGTGCAAACAAAATTTAAACAAAACATTTAATTATGAGATAAAACGAGTGCAACTCGACACGGGATGTAAACCTATTAGCAGAATAAAATCATTATATAAAGCCATTATTATATAAATCATTATATAATACATAAATATGAATCCAAGGCATTAAAATTACTCACTTGAATATAATTCTTTCTTTCATTCCATGGTTGGGGCTGTGATATATATGTCTGGTTTTCATCTATTCTATTATGTCCTCCATATCTTTTATTGTCAGTGTTAATAACTATCTTATAGTCACCTGCCCATTCAGTGCCAATTTTATAATCAGTGAATGAATTTGTTGGATGAAAATTGAAAATCCAAAGCAAATTTCCTCGTTCAAATACAATTAACTTATCATCTTCATGTTTTAGGGAAATATATGCCTTGTTATTTAAAAAGTTGCAATGTAAATTTGAGGGTAAAAATGAATAGAAATGAATAAATCTAACACTAAAAATAGATTACCTGGGGAGATGATAACCAACCGAAAATATCTTCAGTGTGTTGTAGTGTTTTGTCAAATTCGTTTAAATATTTGTATCTTAGTAAATCGTCATCAACGACATTCCATTGCCGCCTTGCGTAATGATATGAGTTGTTATTTCCAACTCGCGGAAAATCTAGCCATTCAGGATGCCCAAATTCATTACCTTCAAAATTGAGGTAGCCTTCACCACCGAGGCCATGCGTCAACAAACTACATAACAATTGTTTATGAACGATAATTCTTTATAAGATAAAAATCAAACGAGATATTCACCGAATCATTTTATGAAGAGCCAATCCACGATCAATGATTGGAGTAAGTGGAGTCAAATCTGACATGTTAGTATACATTTCCTTATCCATGAGCCAGAAAGCAATAGTTTTATCGCCAACAAGAGCTTGATCATGAGATTCTGCATAGGCAATATTTTTTTCCTAAATATTATTTTTAATTAATGAATATACAATTGGAACAAGCATAAATACATAAATGAAGGGATACCATATGTCTACGATTAGTCAGAGTCCAACAGATGTTTCCAATGTTCCAATCATCATCGCGCACTTCTTTCAATAGCTTGATCCACATATCAGGGATAGCCATAGCAAGACGGTAATCAAAACCAACACCACCTTCGGAAACGGGACGACATAGACCAGGCATTCCGGAAACATCTGGCGAATGAAAATATATATTGGATTGGTTAATGCAGAATGAGAATGGTAGATAAATATTATAAAGTAATATAAACAATAATTACCTTCGGCAATGGTAATTATGTTTGGATATAATGAGTGAAGCATTTCATTTGCCTTAAAGAACATAGATAATAAAAATTATGAACGTATTGAGAAAGTATTAAGACGGGATTGTACATACCAGCATCAAGTATACAACACTTTCTTCATCCACAGAATCACCAAAGTATTCATGATAACCACCAGAGAAACCTGTACCAATACCATGGTGAATGTACATCATGCTGGTGACACCATCAAATCTGAAACCATCAAACTTGTATTCTTCCATAAAGAACCGAAGGTTTGATAGTAAGAAACGAAGGACTTCCCAGTGACCATAATTGAATAGGCGACTATATAGTAAAAGTAGAAAAAGTAGATGTAAAGGAAATGGTAGAGGAAAATGGTAGAGTTGAATGATTTATAATAATCACCTATCCCAGAGATCATGACGCCCTTTTCCTCCTTCGTGAAAGTAGCAATGATCAGAACCATCAAACATATTCAAACCATCCAACACATTCTTACATGCATGTGAATGTACAACATCTAGCAGTACATATAATCCCATGCCATGAGCAGTATCGATGAGTCGCATTAATTCTTCGGGAGTTCCTGTATACAAAGCAAATTAAATAACATATTGAATTACCTCAGGTTGGACGCATCATAATACCGATGGCCACTGCTTATAATATCACCCAAAATAATACCCCTATGACTAAGACTACTCCTACCGGCTTGTTTCTTGAATAAGACCGGGGGTACAGTTATATTGATTTACCAGTTTTTTAATAATGGTACATCCCAAATATAGTAACCAAATTTAAAAATAAGAATCTTAAATAAGACCCAGGGTACAGTAAGTACTGTAAGCAGTGACCAACGGCAATTATAAGTATTAATGATCTTACCATAACGACTAGAAATAGCAAAGAAACTAGTTACTTGATAACCAAAAGAAGCGTAATAAGCATGCTCCATAATTGCCATCAATTGAATAGCATTGTAACCCAGATTTCTAATACGTTTCAACACATTATCAGTAAATTCATTATAAGTACCGACACGTCCTTCGGTAGTAGATATACCGACTATAATTTAAATTATATAAAGATAATTAGAACATAAATAATATGTAACAAGGACACAATCGAGTAACCTAAATACCATGAGCTTCATATACTTTTAAACATTTTGGTTTTTGAGGTGCTTTATTTTTCCAAAAATATCTTTCAGGTGGATTCCAAAAGATGGCGTCGTACGTAGCACTAACGGATAGATCTTGTGTTACTCGCTTGATCCAGGCAGGAAGACGATCGATTCTTTCACCTTCTGGAGTAATCATGGATATCTAATTGAATTTTATGAGACTAAATTATCAAAAAATAAAAAATAACAATCAATAACAAAAAATTGAACATACTTTTATCTTTGAGCCATGCGGAATAGCAGGAATACCATTGTTAGAAGGAATACGAACTTCCCATACACCAAATGAATTTTTTTTCATTGGATGCGCAGAGGTATCCCAACAATCTAAATGTATAAATCATTAAGGATTTTTATATTTACGCGGGCAATGAATGGAGACATTAAGGAAATAAGGAAAATAAAGGATACTAAAGTCGCCAATCAAACATGCATTCGTAGCGTTGGGAGCCCACTCGCGATAAACTATATCACCGTTTGGTTGTACATTGAGACCGTAATGTTCATAATTACGTGTAAACTGGTCGAAACCCCCTTCATGTTGGTTAATATCTTGAATCCATTTCTTTAAAGTAGCGTATCTAAAGCAAATAAGTATCGTGTAAGTTTAATATAAATTACGTATAACTTAAGAACTTTTTGCGGGAATAACTTAACCTTCGTTTCAGAACGGGAGTAAAAGGTTCTAGCCAGGGGTCAATTTTAATAATTCCAGTTCCGTCAGTGTCGGTACTTTCAGAAAGACTCATTGCGGTAGGAGGCATTTGAAACTTAAGTGACGAATATGATATTAAATAGCAGCGACAAAATAAGTGGGCGTTAAACACGAAATATACATACAAGAGAGAAAAGGCGCTTAGTAAATGCCCTTTTTTATACGCACTTTTCACCATAGATAGTTAGTCATCCAAAAATGGGTAAAAGAAAAATTATGCCTTTCACGTTCTAATCAACCCACTTTAATAATGATCGGACATCAACATGAGCTTTTTAAATATAAAACACGTTTATATTGTTTATATTTTCGTGACTATACATGATGATCTTCTAACTGGACCCCATAACAGTCAGGAAATATGTCATTGTTTAAACATAGTATATACCATTATAGTAAAAAACAAAATTACTTATAAACTTTTGACACATTTTAGAAGTGACCCAACTCACCCGGAAATATTCTTACTGTATATAGTAGTTTCTTTAATTGATTTTTAGTATAAGTAGGTACTGTATATATAATTATTATATAATTATGATATATATAACTTAACTATTTTGAACTAAATTAAAAGGACATCTAAAATACAGTCAAATTCACATGACCTTATATTTAATAATTTTCTTAACTAACTTTAGAATAAAAGCTTCCTATATTAGGGTCAAAATGGATTTTAAGTAGTTAAATATAAGCAAAATTGCCTTCCCAACATTTTTGATTAACCTACTCAAAATAGGTTTAAATGGCTATTTTTTATATTTTTTGGGTTTTTTGGTTTTTATTTTTTGGTTTGTTTTATTAGTAATCATCAAAATTCTATAATTTGATTGGCTGTGATCATGTGAATTTAACTTTACTTTAAATGACCCCTAAATTAAGTAATTTTATAAATTATTAGAGTTAGAGTTAAGGTTAGAATTTAAATTGGCTCAAATTAATTAGGTTTTATATATTATAATCTTGTAATAATTTATATATACCCACCTATACTAAAGGAGATCCGTTCTTTTAATAAGTATTTACTATATAAATATTGTAATCCTGAATATATTATTACTGAATAAATTTTTTTAAACTTTATATAAAATTTTCTTAACAATAACATAATGAATTTTTTTACAATTTCATAGAAATTTAAAAGAACCTTTAACTATCAAAATTAATTACTTTATTACTAAGATATTATTATTAAAAGATTGTTAAAAAATTAAGTAAAATTTAATCTTTAATTAATTTTTAACAATAATATTATAGCAATGAAATAATTAATTTTAATGTTTAATGTTATTTTGAATTCTACAAAAATGTAAAATTTAAATAAAATTTAATTTTTAAAATTAATTATATTGTTGTTAAATTATATATATTTAATTATTAGTGTTTTGAATAAGAATATTTCAATAATAAAATAGTTAATTTTGATGTTTAAGGATTCTTTTAAATCCTATAGATATATAAAATTCAAAAGAATCTTCAAATATTAAAATTAATCATTTTATTATTAAAATATATCTATCTAAGGCCATACAAACTTATATTTTCGGTTTTCATATCCTGGCTGGATCAACAAAGTGAGAATCCAAAATTTTTATTTTTTAATACATCAACTAATAAAATTCTCTATACATTTTATGTAACAAAACAAAGTTGAATTATTAAATTCTTGTAAAATAGCAACATTTTAAGTTTCTAATCTTTTTTTGCATAGATCAATTCAGCAATATACTTTATAATGCATAACTGAAGTATATATACTCAACCTTAATGAAACGTATCTTATCATTATTCATAATATGTATTTTGAACTAAATTGCACTTGATTTATTTCAAGAAAAGACCCATTTATATACAGTTATTACACTTAATTCGCCTGATATAACCACTAAAATCATCAATAAAATATTAAATAAATAAGTTCGTTATAATTATTAGCTGAATAAAAGATCAATTAAAAAACAGCATAAAGTATAGTGCTTTGTAGTTGTAAGATATAATTTTAAGATAATCAAGTTTATCATATTCTGAAAATTTGTAGTTATAGTTAATAAATTAGGGTATTTTGCGCCGAAATTTATCCAAATCTTGTTAATTTTCACACCAAAATTTACCCAAATCTTATTAATTTTAGAATCAGTTTGCAAAAGAATATTATCTTAATGAGATTTATTATAAAATTTTTAAATTGGTTTGTCTTTGAAATGTCTTTAAAAACTAAACTAAACAAGTAAATTGTATCAACTATAGTTATAGGTAGTTTTAAAAGCCTGCATTTTATAACAACTGCAATATAACTTTTACGATAATAGCTGTGACCCTAAGTTTGGTTCGGTCTAGTCCATAAGAGCACCAATGTATATTAATTTCAGAATATTAACGTGTTAACTTCTTTAGCACAATAGGCTCTGGAGCAGTGTCTATAGTAGAAAATGCTTTTATTTCACTCATCTATACTAGTCAAAAAAATACGATTTTGAGATAATCAAGTTTATTGTGTTCTAAAATTTTGTATTTATTGATTAATAATTTCAGGTGATGTGCAAATTACAAACTATCTAAAATTTTTTATGCAATGGATTTCATGTCGAAATTTACCTGAATCTTTTTGATTTTTATGCATACAAATCTTATAATTTTCGCACTGAAATTTATTCATCAAATCATTAATTTTCAGATGCAGTTTGAGCCCTACTACCACAAAATAATATTTTCTTAATAAAGTTTATTATAAAAAATTTTAAATTGATTTGTCTTCAGAATGACTTCGGAAACCCAACTAAATATATAAATTGTATCAAATATAGTTTTAGGTAGTTTTAATACCTTTTATTTCACAAAAACTGCAACATAAACTTTTACTAATTAAAGCTATTTTTAATTTCTTACTAGTAGAAAATGATTTTATTTTACTTATCCATGCTTTTAGAAGACGTTATACTTTCTTTAAGTATCCAATTTTTGGCATAGTATGAAATTTGAATCAATAGTTTTAAACATTTCTTTTGTTGTAAGAATATTGTAGACTTTAACAAGATCAAGCACCTATATATAATTTATAAATCTATCAGCTCGCCAGTTTCAAATGTAATTATATTTATTTATAAGTTCATATATCATTGCATTTAGTATTCTGATCTGGCCAACCTGAATGACTTGATACTGACATGCTATAATATGGTGATCATCTCTATAAAAAATTTTTGAAAAGTTATCCTGACTTTTTCCAGACTATTATTCTATTATCGATTTGAAAAATACTTATTTTCATATAAATCCTTAGTTATTTCAATAGAATCCTAATAAATCCTGGCTTATAATTGTAATAAAAAAAATATAAAAAATTATCAGTAGTAGCCAAATCTTATCCCAGTAAATATACAAATCTGTTCATATGTATATGATTATTAAAATTTCTTTAGAATATAAAATCAGTTTACCAGATATCATGAAGACTGATAATATAAGTTTATATTGCTTTATTAAAAATTTTTTTATATATGTAATTTTTATCAAATACCCGGTGTAAGACAATAAAATTTCCTAAATAATTTTTTTTATTATAAAAATTTCTTTAAAAAAAAATTAAAATCTGGGTTGGCAAGTTATGAGGCCAGTTAATGATATGAAAACCAAAAATATAAGTTTGTATTGCCTAAAATATTTGTGTAATTTTTGGTTTTTTTTTTTTTTTATTAACTAGCCTCTTTGGCATAGAGGTTTTTATTTAAGTATAATAGGTAGGGAGCTCACAACAGAACCCCAATTACATTAAAGAGTACAACTAGCTACACGTACGCTTTTTAAATGCCTATTTAAGTAGTCCGTATAGATAACTGTATACTATAGGTTCTACACTAGCTGCTATATCTATAACCCAACTAGAGGATTATCTATTTAAACCCTCTGTAATATATACTGCCCTCTTGTATTACTAAAACACTCTGTTATATTCGTCAGTCAAGAGTTTTGGTGTATAATTTTTGTATTCGATAAAAATTTATAATTATATAATATAACAGAGTGTAGTAACTTAGTGAAGTAATTAAGTTGTTACATCTCCAAGTGGCATGTTGGCAGATAGGGTTTGAAACCTACCAACGATGAAATTTTGAATATTCTGCTTGTACAATAGCTACTGTTTTTTAACGATCAGTTGAAACGGGATCTCTGTAACCTTAGTAGCACCAACAAGATTGAAAAATTATAGGCATTCGTGCAATGCATAAGTTATACAAAGGTATGCAAGCCGATATTAGTCAGTACAAACCCAAGATAAGACCTCGGGTTTGTATAAACTCAGGGAACCAGAAAAATAAACATCTACATGGCAAAACCCAAGTAGAGAGGTAGCACAAAGTTTCAATGATAGCTATTAGAATAGGCTTTACTCGAGGCTAATATAATCAAATGAGGACCAGGTATTCGGAAAGAAGACACTTCACTAACCAGGCCACTAAAATTGTCAGAAGAAAAGGATCTGCAATGCAAATACCAAAGGACTGGTGTCTTATCCAGGCTATTTGGATTAGTAGTTTGGAGAGACTGGCTAGAGAGTACTAAAAGAGGAGATACTAGGTTGTCTTAAAGAGAAAGTATTGGGGTTTGGTTGGACTCTAAAGAGCTGAGTAGATAATAGTAGTAGCTTCAGCTCACAAGTACTTGTTCTTGAACTTAGCGTAAGTTACTGAAGTAGACTAGGTAATATAGTAATAGTAGGTATCAGACTACTCTAGCAGGTGATGACCTCGAGGATGAATTGATTAACCAAGCTGATAGTCTTATAGGTAGCTCACAATGATTCTAGAACTTAAACTGACTAATATATCGCATGTTCTAGGTAAGATTAGATGAATTAGCATAGGAAACATGAATCAGAGAGTTTAATCGAGTAATCTAAATAATAGTAGGTTACAGGTACAGCATCTAGTATAGAACCTAATAATAGACAGACTACTTAAATTAAGTGCTCAAAAGACACAGATATGGCTAGTATATATCCTTGTCAGAATGTACTTGTCTGAGGCCCCTTGATAAGAACACTATATGATT